AAAGAAACCTCCAGCAATGGTGTGCCCCTGGCAGCCCTTTTCCAGAGGCTGCAGTGGGATGGCTGGGCAGATGCTCCCCCTTGGCCATCCTGCCTGTCTGGGGCGGGCTGCGGCCCCCCAGACCCACAGGAGAGGCCCAGGCCAAGGCATCCCATCCCACAGGAAAGGGCTGGGGCTGCAAGTGCACAATACCAGCGGCTGGAGCTCCTTCCCGGGGAGTGGAGCTGGTGCCCCGTTGGGGCTGCAGTTCTATGGGGAGCTGCTTTGTTTGAGGACCGACTGTAACAACGGCCAGTGTAAGGTGGAGAGAGGGCATGAGGATGTGAAAAGGATCTGCTGGCACCCCAACATTTTCCCCCGAGGCAAGCCATGGTGGGAGCCCAGCAAACACTTTATTGCCAAGAACAGCGATCCTCTCAGCCTCCAGGCACAAAGATGGAGGCTGCCTCACTGTGTCCCACACCAGGTTGGTCCATACAGACAAGCAGGTCCTCGGGGCCAAGAGCCAGCCCCAGCACCAGTTGCCCATCCTTGGGTCACCCAGGGGATGGAGAGAGCCAGGCAGCCCAGCCTATGTGACAGGGACACTCCTGTAGTACTAAGGCACCATGCTGTGCTCCAGGACCACCACCCCAAACACTGCCCATGGGCTCCAACAGGCCTGGGGGCTGCAGACAGCCTGGCTCCCCAGCAAAGGCGGAGGATGCCCAGCAGGCAGGAACAGTCAGGGTGGCACAGAGGGGCCCTGGTGCTCAAATCTCCTGAGATGGCAGAAATAGCTCTCTGCTACTGAAGGACCCTCGCAGCCCTGCACACATCCCAGTGGCATCCTGCTCGCCCCCACGCCGTGTCTCTTCTCTCATGTACCTGACCTGCTCACGGTGCCCCTCTGCTCCCGCTCCCTCAGGCCAATGCTGTGTGGGACAGGGGGTCAGCCTGTCCTGGGGGATCAGCCTGTCCCGGGGCACTGTCTCCCCTTGCCCCCATCAGAGGAGACGTCCCAGGAGCTGAGTGCCGGGAGAGCTGCCCCAGGCCACCGGCAGGGCGACGAAGCCCAGCTTGCTGTAGAAGCTCAGCTGCTGCCGATCAGCATCACGGACCTGGCAAAACACTCCTCGCGACCCTGCAAGGGAGGTGAGAGGTCAGGGCACTGGGCCCTCAGCTCTGGGACCCCCTCCACAAGGAGGTCGGCCTTTCCACTGCCTCTTTGGCACTGGCTGCCCCTGTGATGCCCTGAGACACAGATCCACATGTCCCCCAGTGCAAGGGGAGGGGATGGTGCCTGGGAGCTGGGGCCAGACTGCACCAGAGTGGAGATGGGGAGCCCTGTGCTGAGAGAGGTGGAGTGCAGGTGGGGCCAGCTCCTAACCCTGTGGTGGGCAAGGGAGCAGTTGGGAAGGGGTTGTGCTGGAACAAGGGGGTCCCAGTCCCCCCAGCACGGGGAGGTCCCGCTCACCGTTGGCCCTGAGTGCACTCAGCAGGCAGAGGGCCAGGCTGCGGCTGGCCCCCACGTCCAGCACACGGGGGGCCGTGCCCAGCTGCACAAGGGAGGGGAAGCGCCGCAGCACAGGCAGGGGCACAGCCCGTGGCTCTGCATGGAAGAAGAGCACTGCTTCCTCCAAGGCATCCTGTGGGAGACAAGCACAAGTGAGAGAACCCCCTCCACCGCCCCCATCCCCACTCCCCTCTGCGCCAGGTGTCCCCTCACCTGTCCCAGAGCTGGGCCACCCGTGCCCAGGTCTGGGGGGTACTTGTGCCGTATGGCTGGCAGCCAGCTGCTGTCTTGCTGCTGCAGGAAGCCTTCAGCATGGAGTGCTCCAGCTGCGTAGCCACACGGACCACCCTCGTCCTCCAGCACAAAGGTGTACTCGGGGCTCAGGCTGAGGAAGGGGCCCAGCAGCCTGGCAGCCAGAGCAGGAGCACAGCTGAGCTGTGCCTGGAGCCCAGACTGCCCCACAGCAACCTCAGAGCAGCCTCCTCCTTCCTGCCCCATCAGGACAGCACCCAGTGCCCACTGACAACCCCTTTGAGATCCCCAGCAGAAGCCCTCAGCCAAGGGGATCTGCTACAGTCTCCTGCATCCAGGCTGGACAATGGGTCTGCCCCCACTGTGGCTGCCTGACCCTGCTGAACATCAGCATGGAGATGTCCCTCCCTGTCCCTCCCACAGGGTGAGGCCACTGACAGCCCGGGGCAGAGCTGGTCCCCGCAGGGATGCCAGGAGAGGCCATCGCCTCATCCCCTGGCCCTGCATCCCTCAGCACGTGGCCAGGCTCAGCACAGCCTGGCCAGAGGGAGCCCCAGAGGGGCCACATCTCACCTGTCACCGAGGAGATCTGGGTGGGCCATGAGGATCTCTGCCACTTTGGGATCACAGTCCAAACTCTCCCGGCACATACGGTAAAGCTCTCCCTGGAAGACCGAGACCCACCTCAGTCCTGGCTGTGCCAGCCCTGCTGCACTGCCAGCTGCTCCCAACACAGGCCTGGCCAGAGCGTGGCACACCAGCAGCTGCCAAAGGGGCTGCAGAGAGGGACCATGACCAGGGCTGTGGCCTCCGGGCGAGGGTAGGGGATACAGGGCAGGGTACTGCTTGAGCCACCCAAGAGCACTGCTGTCTGCTAGCCTCGGGCTCAGGGCCACAGCACAGCCACCCTTCAAACCAGAGACTGCCATTCTGGTCAGGCGTTCAGAGAGCACCCACTGCAGGGATGGCCCCAGGCCAGAGCACACTCAGAATGGCCCCAAAAACAACACTGGAACTCAAGTCTCCAAAGAGCCTGCGCACAGCAGGACATGCCCAAATGTCCTATCTTGGTCATGGTTGAGTTTGCTGCTGCTCCCAGTGAAAAGGACATTCAGATAAAAGCCTTGATCCTGAGAGGGAGGCTGCCCTGATCACACAACGACTGGGGCAGGACCGTGCCCTGTTAAGCCCCATTCCCAGAAGTGCTCAGCTGGATTTCCCTCTCAGAGTTTCACTGGACACAAACATTCGTGTTGTTAAGGTTCAGCCTGAGCAGATGAAACCTGACAACAGGCAACTGTAAACAAGTCCCCATGATGAGAACTGCTGGCAGAACAGTCTGGGGTTACAATCTGCTCTCCTGTGCTTGCAGCTCCTCCTCTGCTACCCAGCAGCGCCACAGCAGCACATGGCCGGGTGCCGTGTTTAGCAGGGAGCTGCACTCGTGTTCCTGCTGGCTGGATTTGAGGCATTAGCCTTTCCTTGGGCTGGGAGAGGAGCAGAGTGAGGGTGGGGTGCTCGCTGCAGGCTGTGGTACATGGGGAACCCAGAGCTCTGCTGAATTTGGTGACACTTTAACTTGTGTGTCCTCCCACAACCAGAATCTCCCTTTCCCTCCCCATCCCATCGAGCTATCGGGATGTCAGAGCAGGGGGTTGGCAGCAAGAAGGTCGTGGCTGACAGTGGCTGCTGCTCTCCATCAGGGAATCAGCCCATAAACTGGATGACTATTTGAAGAAGGGACTCATTTGGAGATGAACCCCAACAGGCTCAGGCAGTGCCCAGAGCTGCAGACCAGTGAAGGCTCCAGGAGGTCACCATCCAGACTTGACCTGTTCTGGGTATTTCCTGGCATCTGCTCACAGTCACTGCTGGAGATGGGCACTGGGGTTGCTCTGGAGATCACCCACAACCTGGCAACCCTGACCTAGTGCTGGTTAAACTGTGGCTGTGCCTGCTGCTCACTGGTAGGCAGGGCTCCTTTTCCTGCTCTGCCTAGGCCCTTGTCACAGGGAGGCAGCTTTGCCAAGGCCACAGCTCCTCTTCTCCAGCCCAGGGTCTGACACACTGCTGATCATGGCCCCAGGGAGCTGCCACAAGCCAGCTGGCTCTGAGCAGAGCTGGACCCGAGGTCCCTCCCCACCTGTGCCACCCTGCACTGAGGGTCAGCAGAGACAAGCCTGTAGCTCATCAGCACACATGCAGCACAGGCCATGCAGAGGTGAGCTCTGGCAGGACACCCCTGCAGGCCATGGCTCCCACCTTGTCCAAGGGCAGCAGCGGGCGCAGGAGGTACGTCTGGCTGGATGGGAAGAGAGGTGGTGGGTGGTAGAAGAGGTCACAGCTGTTCCCCACAGGCAGCAGTGCCTGGAAAATACACAGTCTATCAGGTTTTCCTGGCTCCAAGGTCTCTCTGTGGCTCCCTAAACCCCAGGAACCACAGATGCCCAAGGTAGCTCTTGCCTTCCCAAGCTTGCAGCAACCCAAAGCAGGGTTGGGATACTGGCTTCCCAGTGGCTCCTTCAGCCCCCCAGAGAGAGGCACACTCTCACCTGCAGCTCTCCAAAGAGGCCCCCACGACGTGCCCAAGGCTCGGCATCCCTCCCCAACAAGATCGGGGCAGTGATACTCTGGCACCCTGGGAACAGCAGGACACAGACACAAGTGAGGTGAACAAAAACCTGCTAGGCAGGGGGAGATCAGCCTCTGTCACACAGCAGCACCATGATCCCCACAGTCACAGCTCCAAGGACCTGCTCTCCAGCTGTGCAGCCATGCCCAGGCAGGGACTTCAGACGGGCTCAGGCAGCCCCCTCCATTTCTTGGGGCAGCCACACACCCTCCATAGCAGGGCTTGAACTGGGGGGATGGAAAAGGACTGGTCTCACCTCCACAAAAATGTAAGGTAAGGACACAACTCCTGGTTCAGCCGGGAAGCTGCAGCCTAGCACAGAGTGCTGTGCTCCTACCCAGCCAGATCCACAGGGATGGTGGGAACATGCCCTGCACAGCTGCTTCCCCATGGAAAGGGCTCAAGGCAACAAGGCCCCCTCTGACACTGAACTTGGAGGCCTGCTCAGGTTATCACCCAGTAACAGCTCTTGGTTCATAAGAAGTCACAAGGCCCACAGACCAACTAAGGAACCCTAAACCAGGGGAACATGGGCTTCCAAAGTGATGTACAGGCATTCAAAAAACAGCCTCACCTCTCTCACACAGGGCATTACTACTCCCAGTGGCCCATAGGTCCCTTTTCCCAGACAGGCTAAGGGATCCCTGGGTTAAAAAGACTGAGGAACCATATCCTAGAAATGGGCATTCCTTCTAGGCTGTGAGAGATGGTGAAGAGCTGCTCCAGTGACTGCCCTGTCCCCAGCAGCAGTGCCTCATCCTGCCCCAGTGTGTCAGGGCATGCAGGGGTGCCAAGCCTTCCCATGGCCATCCCTGCTCCACCTGGCACACAGAGCGTGGGGAAGGGGAGGCTGATGGTGAGTGCTGTGGGGCTGGAGGTGATGGAGGGCAGCAGCCAGGCCCCCCATCCACGTGGATGACTCAGGGTAGAACCCCTACTTACAGCCAAAGCAGTTTCCCCAGGTGCCCTTGGGGCCAGGGTCGCAGAGGAGGTGACCATCTGCAAAGGAGGAGAGATGGTGAGCACAGAACAAGGGGCAGCGGTGGAGAAGGTTCAAGGGGAGAGACCCTGGCACCCCCAGCTGAATAGAGGGACCCCAGACTCTGAGGTGGTCCTAGACACCTTCACCTCCTTAGCAGGGGAATAGTGGATCACCAGAGAACAAGCTTCAGGTGCCCAGGGTGTGCCCCAGAGCCCCTGCACTCCAACGCGGCTGCGTTCGGCCAGGGTGCAGATACACGGG